ATGCCTGTCAGCTTGCATGAAAAACTGTGAAGTTACATAGTTTCTGGTGCAGCTTCTACTCACTTAACAAATTGTTCTTAATGACTATAAAAAAGAGTCTCCCCTGCAGCCTGCCTGGGAATAAAAATTATTTCAGTCCTTTACAACCCTGTATAAGAGAAAATATTAGCAAGACCAACCGTGGTATCACCTTGCAGTGTGAACACATTCTTGTCTGACAGAACTTTTATTAAAAATAAGCTTTTAGTCTGAGAGAGGCACACTGCACATGTGAAACCAGACCCCAAAAGGGCTTGACAACAGTGGTCTACTGAGGCTCTCTTTGTTGGGGCTCTCTGCTGAAAGCAAAAAGATCTTTTTGAAGTTCACTTCCCCCTTTGAACATGTCCTTTTTGCTGCATGGGAAGACTGCACTGTGACTAACTCCAATCGTAGCCTAATTTGATTAGTGCTTGAACTTAAGGAAGTTGACTGATGTGCAGCCCACCTCTTATAATTAATTCCTTGTAGATGTCATTGTGTGCTATTTGTCAGTTCCTTACAAGCCCTTTAAAACTCTGGGGTATGTATTCCTTTACTTACTCAACTGTCTTATCACCCATTGATATTTATGTAAAATGTTGATTAGTTTTTTCCATTAAAAAATAATTGCAGCCAAAGGGTGTGGTATGTCTTCTTTGCAAGGTGGTTACAAAGAAGTGCTGAGGCACCTTGCCTGGTTGAGGTGTCTGGGTGTCGCTGCGGTGGTGCTTCCAGCCCCATGCTGTGTTCATGTGATTCAGGTCTTCATTTCCCCGCTCCCTGCAGTGTTGCTGCCAAAGCCAGGAAACCCTGGCACCAGGCACACCCCTGAGGGATAACTCCTATCAGCTACTGCCCCACATCAGGACCCTTGGGCACGCAGCTGGTATGTCTAAATCACCTGGCCTTGACTTGGCTGCTGTAAGAAATGCAGATTAAGACAAAATTGTTTCTTACTGCTCTTGAATAGTTAAGGAGACTTTATGGATTTTAGTGGCCTTCAGTCCTCTTCTCCCATAGCTATAGAACATCTCTGGTCTGGTTGCACAGTTTAAAGTTAGTTCCTCTGGCTTGTCTGCTCTCCTAGTTTTTTAATATGAGCCTCCCTACATGTTTTGTTCCTTCTCGGGGGATTTTTCATTTGTTCAAACTGGTAGAAGTGACTTAATCCAGGCATAAGAGAACATTCTTGAGAGACCTTATGCAGCTGGGCCTGACAGCCTTCCAACCACAATATCTTGAATTTCATGTGTGGGTGTGCATATGCACACAGTTTTTCTAAATGGACTAGAGGTTCTTTGTTAGCCTCATGCAGAACTTGTGAACACGTATCCTGACTATAGCTTTCAAAGACATGGAGGAAAATACTTCCAGTCTTCCAAAGACCAAGGAAGACCAAGAGTAGCAGGAGCAAAGGATACTATTGTTTGCTTCTCAAGTATTTGGAGACCTTTCTTTGAACAATCTGAGATTGTCAGATTGTACTGAGGAACAGGGTCCTCTCTGAAAGCTTAGTTTCACTTCCTTCCCTGTGGAGCTCGAGCAGTTACTTCCCACTCCTCCCCTAACTAAGTTTCCATAACAGATCAATGCTTCTAACTTGCTCCTGTACAAAATAACCAAAATTTCTTGTGGTCATGTATGTATTGGTGAAAGTATGGAGCTTTACGGCTGAGTACAGGTGAGACTCTTCACAAGCCAAAAGCATGCCAGGTGAAGGCCTGTTGCATCCCCACTTGAGGGCTACTGCTGGCAGCCAGGAAAGGTGCCCCAGACTTCAGATGGGGACAGCAGGGGCAAGATCAGCACTTGGTGGGCTCATGGCAGCAGTGCAGACTTGGTGAGGCAGGGAAGCAAGTTTCCTCTATTACACATGGAGCCTGGGGAAACCCTTTACAAAGGTGTAACCAACACTGGTTTGACTGGCTGAGCCTTGTAAAGAGAGGAGCAGGAGGGGATGAGTGGCAGCAGTTGTCCATCCCTTGCAAGTGCCCACCTGGAGCAGGGCTGCTCACAGGGCTCCTGGGGCATCAGACTGCTCCACTCCTCCCAACAAAATCAGCTGTGGTGCAAGCCTGGCAGCTGTGCTCAAAAGGACAGGGACAGAGGACCAAGAGGGTGGGGGAAAAGGTACAAGGGGTGAACACAAGACTGGTATCAGTGATGCTGTGAAAGTACCAAAAAAAGGCTGTAGATAACCTTTTGGAGTCACTGCACTGCCTGGCACTCAACCTGTGAACATTGGCTTGTGCTGTTATACGATACTCCACTTAAAACATACTGATTTCCTAACCATCTAGAGTGTACTGAGCACAAGGGTAACCTGTTAAAGCATTAAAAAGGATTTTCCTTCTCCTTTTTTACTGCCTGGTTAGGACAGAGGAACCATAGGCTATAAACACTGGATTGTTTCTTCTGCCCTAGCAGATGCTTCCCAGCTGTCTTCAGAAGCAGCTTCTGCTTTATGGAGGAAGCTGGAGATTCCTACCACATGATTAGTGATTTCTCAACAAATCCCCCAACTGTAAGAGAAGTCATCTGCTGACAGGGAATGGTCCAAGTGCCTTTCTCTATTCCAAAGACTATGCAAAAGCAGCTTTGCAAGACTCAAAAAGCTTTTGTTACACCTGTTAAATCAGATGCCCTCACTGGCTGCCATGGCATAGAAAGCTGTCTCAGTTCTACCAGCAAAACTCGATCCCAGGAGGACAGAACACAGGCAGTGCTGCATGGGAGGACTGCAGGTGGCTGACCAAATCCTGTCTGGAACCTGATTTTACGTCCTTTTATTCCTACTGAACTCAGATATACTTTTGGTATATGCTTTAAGTAGCAGCTTTATACTGATTGCCATTAAACTGTGAAGTCTTAACATAGAACATCATAGAGATGTTCTCTGTATTCCATACATTCACCTCCCTCACTGCTGCATCTGCGCTGGTTGTATTTTACAGCTCAAGCTAGAGATTACTTCATATATGAACAGGTTATGAACCAAAGCTTTTAATAACCCTAGAAACAAACACAGCTATTTCAGAAAAAAAGCACTCAGCTCTGCCTCTGAGACAAGCAATTCCAGGAAATTTGCAGACCAGATAACATGCTAACTTTTCTCAAGAGTCAGCCTAGTCTTAATGTAGTGGTAACTTTGAACCTACAAAACCTTGTTCCTATATTATTTCCAGTGCACTCTAAGGAGGAAATTTATTAAATGACACAGCCTTCCTACTTCAGTAGAGACAGAGAGCTCCTGAGTCATTATTTCAGCCCTGAAGAAGTCTCTAACAAAAATGAGACACACTGCAAAGTTCGTGACACAAAAGCAACCCTTGTCCACCATCAGCTCCCCAAAGCAGCCATCAATCCATCATCCAGCATTGCCAAGCCTGTAGGAGTGGCAGTCCTACTAATGGTGACCAAGAAATGGGCAGGCAGGAACTCACTGACGCTGACAGGGAGAGAAAAAGTGGCTCAGAAATAAAGTGCAGGTGTTCTCCTATGTCCCACGCAACAACACTGTGCAGCTGGTGCCTATGGCACCTTCCTGCAGCCTCTAAAAAGGATAGTTGCTTTAGTGGCATGGCCCTTAAAAAATGCTTGTTAAGACAGTCCAGCTCTGACACCACGAATACACAGCCCACTGAAAGACAGTGGAACATCAGGATTAACAAAAAGCAGCATTTACAAAGCAGATATGAAAAGACCTGGTGTTTTTCCTTTATAGTACACCTGGTAAATGCTGGCATTTAGCATCTGCTTTGACTAATTTATCTAATTGCGTTCAACTGTGAAGGCTCCTTAGCTAGAGCACTTGCTCTATAAAAAGCCAGTTTCAGAGGTCATCTCTTCCTAAAGAAGCTTCTCAGCAAAGCTGTACTTCTCCTCAGAGGAAGGTAAGAGCTACCATCTTTCCTCCATTGCTGTTCTGAAGCTTTTATTTTCTTGGGTGCAACGTAGTTTTCCAGAGTTGTTTCAGCAGGGAGACCTTGAGGTGAGATCTTGTTTTAGGTTGTCTACTGAGCAGTAGGTTTTTTATTTTTCCCTTGCCCTGCCTTCACACTGTCTCAAACGTGTGTAATTATTAAAAAACTTAAGGAATAAGTTGTTACACAACAACTTTGATTACTGAACTAATTCACAACTTACTGTTTAATTCATTTACAAACAATGCTTGGTACATGATTTAATTGAAACACCAGAGAAGGTGTAGATTCATCACATCATAATTCTGCCAACAACCTACAAACATTGCTTGGGTGTGGAAACAAAACTTGTTGCTGATTTAAATTCCTAGAGTAGGCAATGAGAGGAGTATTCATACTGTTTGGTTTTTAACTGTTGGTTAAATGAGTTCTAAAGTCTTGGAAGATCCAAGTGTTTTAATAGTCCAATGGCAGCTGTTCTGCAACAGCAACTGTACCTCATCCAGAAACAAACAGTTCCTTATTTACCAGAGCAAATAAGGGAGTGGACTCAAGCCCTGGTATGCCTCACTGTCA